CAGTAAATCCTTGTGCAGTGACTGGAGATACATGAATGATCTTGTATTTATGCTGTGGATAATATTTATTTTAGTAATGTAAGTCAGGTATCTGGTCTAAGCTCCATAGACTTTCTCTACAGTCAGTGTAGAAACGTTCTCTAAATTTAAACACACTCTTAAAATTAAATGAGTGATCATCCAGAATCTCTACTCGTGGAAGAAACAGTCTAGATAAAGTCATCTTAACTGGAATATCATCTCTCATGTTCAGGGATAGAACTCATTTAATGATTAGCTGAGTCATCTGGAAATGGTTATTTCTTTTCATTCACTAAACATTCCAGCACATTGCTGACATCCCTAATTGAAGACGATTGAATTCTGCCCAATGGAAAAAAAAATCCATCCTATTATCTGTCTGTTAATGCAGGATACTCTTTCTATCCTCAGTAATGAGTCCTTGAAATAAATATTCTTTCTTTTTTTCCAACTCATTAATTTCTTTATGTTTGTGAGTAGCCATGGTTATCCTGCAAGACTAGCCAAGCAACTATTTTCTCCACTTTTCAATGAAATAGGATTAATTTCCTATAAAAAAGGGCCTTCTCTGCATGTGGAATTTTCCTTGGAGCTCTAAGCATGTGTTCTTGTCATGTTCACTCTCGTCTCTCTCCTGTCATCTAGAATATTTCCATATCTTTTAACCTGTAGGGATAAGTTGCCACCTTCTTCCTCTGGTTTCCACTCTTTGTTCTGTATCAAGTGAGTATAATTCTGAAATCAGATTATAAAATTATCAAATTTCTTCCTTTATGCTTTTCTTTTTTGTTAGAAGATATATACTAACCCTAATCTCTGCAAACCACACATCTTTATTTTGCAACATAGCCACCACTTTGTACAAAGAAAAGTCCTTTTGACTTTTGAAAAGAACTAAAATGGAGCACCAAAGCTTCTTGTAGGGCATCTCCTCCGTTTCATTGGTGACCAGTGCAGTATGAAGCAAATGACCATACGTAGAAAATGTCATCTCTTATGTTGGATTTTTTGTTTGCCTGTTTTTAATAGAAATTGTTCTACATCTCAGATTTCTTTTGTGTCATTTCTGTAACCACTTACCAGCTTCAAAGCTTGAATAAGAGTGCAAACCCATACTATTGTGCACCATGTTTATTCTGATTTTACATTTACATCACAAAACTTTTTTTCTGCTCTCTACTGCTTTGTAACATTTGTTTTAGGATCTAGAGGACAGGGAGACGGGGGCATATATTGTGATTAAATTAAAACTTGTGATGTGATTAAAAAAGTGGTTATTACTGTCTAGTGTCCTAGTAAGGAAAAATACCTGGGAATCCATTTCAGTGGCTGTACTGGCTGACTTCATTGTGTCTATTGTAAAAATGTTTCAGGAAAAAAAATAATTTTTAAATGCCCTGGAACAAGACATTTAAAATAGATTCTCTTGTTCTGTACCAGTTAGTCAGCTGACAGCATACTGAGAAGAAACCACATTGAGTCAGCACTCGCTACATGCCTTTATAAGACTTTTGGTTCAATTAAATGGGAAGAGTCTCATGGAATAAAGAATTTATGAAGAAGCAAAATTTAATAACCTGTTTTGCAAACATTGAAATCCAATCTTTAGGTTCCTTCAATGCCTCAGTTTCTCCATCTGTAAACCAAAAATAATTATCCATTTAAAACTTACTGAATTATATTGAAAAGAGAATGCTATAGAAGAACCAAGCATTATTAACATCCTTATTACTGTTATATGTATAGACTTTAATCTTCATAGTGACTCATATATAAAAGCAATTACTTTACATAGGGTCCTGTGACTGAAAGTACAACATGGTATTAAAGGCAAATATGTACAATTATAGATTCCCAGTACATCAGAAAAACAACAAAACAAACCAAACCAAACAAACAAACAAACAAACACAAAACCCAAACAAACAACAACAACAAAATAATTACCCACCAAACCCTAGAAAAGTCCTTTCTTTGTACATAATATATGACTCAATGTCTTCTTTTCTCCTGATACCTCAGTGCTAGGGCTTTACCAGTCTACAGGGGAAATCAAGATCTACATTTAAATAAAGAAATTAATAACTAAAGCTAGATTTTATTTTGCAAGTATGGCAAGTGTTTTAAGGTACTTAGTATAAGAAAGCATGTGAAATGAATACTGAATGACATTCTAAATATTCTGAAGAGTTCATCTTATGTCATTTATCACATCTTGTAAATTATGGATTATATTGTAGGTAGTCTATTAAATGCATTATTGAGGAATTATTGGTGGGATTCTTTTAAAGCAATTCAAGTTTAACTTCAGTGTATTGCTAAGAGTTCTCATACACTAAGAGGCAGCATATGTTCATTAAAGCTTGTCACCATTACATAAGAGAGAAACAGGAAAAAAAAAGGCCCCCCTCAAAAACCAAAGCAAAACAAGAAAACAAGAACTAAAGAAAATAAACATACAGTTAAACAACTATTGGTGGAAGCAAGCAGCTGTGTAATTTAGTTTTGGAATAAATATTTAATGTGAAATTAGAGTAACAGTGTTCTGAAGATTATGTAAAGGTTTGGTTAAGGAGACTTTTGGGTGTTATGCAAACAAAAATCTGGTTCCATACCTTTTAGTTTGAGGGACAAGAAGCAGTGATACAGGGCTACAGGATGCTGAGCAGTGGTCAGATGCCTGAACCATATTAACAAGTCCATCATTCACTTGTTTAGTGGGAAATCCTCCAGAACTGTGACATCTTTCTGGATGTTAATAGAATGCACTAAGTTTTAATGTGATGCATTGGGAGAATGAAAAACTGCCCACTGTAGGAGATCAGGTTTGAGATCACCTCAGGAACCTGAAGGTGTACAATTCCATGGGATTTGATCAGATGCATCTGAGGGTCATGAGACAACAGGCAGGTGAAGTGGCCAAGCCACTATCCATTGTAGTTGAGAAGTTATGGTAGTCTGGTGAAGTTCCCATGGACTTGAAAAGGGGAAGCATAACCTGCATCTTTATATCTAATCTCTTTACCTAATAGAGAACATTGTGCTACACTTGGACCTTGTCACAAGTTAACAAAGTAAAGAATCAAAGTCCTCTTTACTTTTCACTAAATCATGTGTCATACTTCACTGCTGACAGTTTTGAAATTCCTATGCCTTTTTACCCTTCTGGAACTATAAGTTGTGGGGTTTTTTTTAAATAATGCTTTGAAATCATCATTTTTTAAGATAGCCATGCAAGATGCATTTCTACTTTCATACTGCATAACTCTCCTGCCCAGCAAAAAGTATTGCTAGGGATTTAATTTTCAACATGACACAATCAGCATATTTCCTCCTAATTTTGCTTACAAATAATATTTTCATCTGTGTGGACTGAGAAACTGAGAACTGGGAATGATCCAAAATCAAATTGTTTATATTCTGTCAACTTACTATGTATTTTGATTTTTCATTGTTTAAACTGTATAAATCTTTTCAAAGCTTTGCTGTTTAAGATTAATTTCTCAAGGCAGTGTCCAGCACTGCAATTATACTGAGATGATGATGCTTCATGCTGTTTTAAATCTGCTTTAGGAAATACCAAAAAATTAATGAAATAGCTGACTCAGCTGCTCACTAAATTCTCCTGGCTCTAGCTGGACTGGCTTGGAGTCAGCAAGGGTCCTTTTTTAATGGGTCGAGCTGCCTTACTGGTATTTTCACCACCAATTAGTCGTTGCTGCTCATCAGGTGAAGGACTAAGCAGATGGTGGTCTTTGCCTGTGACTTTCCTCTTCCAGCTGCAGAGGTGGATGGAGAAGTGAGTGGCTCCCTTCCTGCTCAGTACCACTGCTATTTGTTTCAGCTGTGAGAGTTGACGGAGAGGAATAAAATGGTGCAAATGTACCTGTATTTCAGCTTCAAATCCCATGTACCATACCAGAAATATTTGGAAAATATTAGAAAAATACAAGATAATATTTTAATATTGAAAGCAGGGATTTATATAATAAAATAGGAAACAGATTATGTGAAAAAAATATTTTTTAAATGAGTAATAAAACTTCTCAGGATCTCCAGCCATCAGGATCTTGATTAATTGGCGGGTTTTTTCCATAGAGTTAGAAATGGCGATATCCATAAACTAAAACAGATACTAATACAATTTAGTAGATAGTAAATCTGGTTTCAGCTAAGTTTATCTTATCTACCATTCATGTTTCTCAATGAAATACTGCTCCAACATGTACTAGTTGCAGCCATGATGAATTCCTAGGCTTGCGTGATATGTCAGTACGTGCAGAAATAGGCTTTGTCTTTGGCCTGCCCTTGTTCTGGTAGACTTGGCTGTATTGGAAGGTAACTGCAGGCAGCAATTATTTAGGTTTTTTTAGTTCTGTATTATGTTGCCTCTATTAAAAGTGTGACAAAAATGAGTTGAAGAATACTGTCACTTTAGTGGTTAAAATTATAGCTGAAAGTATATTAATACTTACTCATTCACACATGAGGGGGAGGAACTGCTGAATGTAATTGAGACTTTGTGGGTTTTAAGTTAGGATCCTTTTCTTCTCTAGTGAACCTGTAAATAAAAGAGTACCATGCCTCAGCAACCTCTGATGTGTAATTTTCATTAATAAAATGACACTAGAAAAAAGATCTTTGTCATATTTTCTCTTTATCTTATTATACTTTCAATAGTTGTTTCTGCAGCACTTCTGCTGTGAGACAACATAATGTGCTTTTGTCAAAGTACAATGTTTCTTTGTGCTGAAAACAGGTATATTGCTGTCCACATTAAAATAAATTAAATTGTCAACTACAACTCTATATCTAATTATTTAATTTGCTGGCTTTTTCTAAGAGCATGTAGTGAATTGAAATTGTATATAAATCGAAGTGAAATGCTGCTTTCCAGGTTTTCAGTATTTGATATATCCTGATGTATGTCCAGGTAAAGACAGTATTTTCTTGGCTTTATTATTCTCTCTTTGTTACAGCTAAGACTCTTGAGGTCAGACCCTTTGCCTGCATAAATCAAAAGAACTCATCTTGCTCTAAGGCACCAGCTTAATTTCACTGGGAGTTTTTCCAGTAAATACTAATGGTTGAAATATGTTTCTAAAACTATTTGAAGAATATTTGACTATTTTCTCAACAGAGTAGAAGTAGCCTAACTTCTTCCATTAAAAGACCAAATATTTATTTTCTTTTTTTCCCCCCCTTCTTATTATGTAGCTAAAAGTGTTCAACAACCAGTAATAAAAATACAAAGAAAAGGAACAGGTTGGAGGAAAGGAATCAGAAAAACAGAAAAATAGGAGGAAAATGTTTAATGGAGGAAAATATTTTGAAACGCAAATACTGAATAGCTTGGAACCAAATAAGAAGTAAAGATGTACCATTTCTATAGTGATAAGCTGCACTGGGGCAGGAGTTCATCAGCTGAGATCTGGCCCAGTGTGGTCTGCTGTCAAGCCCGATGTTTTGTTTTCTAGTACACAGCTGGGACTGTAAGAATTGATTTTTCAAGAAAGAGGGTGGGGTTTTTTGTTAGAAAAATCAAATTCAGCAAAACGTTCAGAAACATGCCAGTTCCAGTGAAGATTGTCCAGAGAAATATTTCCCACATCTATCAGTGATTTTCAGAAAAGGGAGAGGAAAGACCTACTCTACAATATTTGATAACTGGCATTCACTGGCATGTAGGGAACAGTTCATGCCCCTGCTTTGCTTCATTAGTGTAAGGAACTAGAATATAGTACTTCTGAGGGATGCACAGCTCCAGTCCCTGCTGGCCTCTTCTTGTTTCTCATTGTTTCTCATTCTGGAATGGACATAGCTCTCTTTTGACTCTAGAGAAACTTTGTTTCTTCAATTATGGTATAAGAAAGTTTATAAAAACTTACAAAGTAAATCTTGATGGGAAAATGATTTCCCAGGCAGCATTTTTTGTGGTCAAGTCTGGTTTACTACCATGACTAACAGTATATCTCTATCTCAGATCAGAGTTCGTTCCCAGTAAGTGACTGATAAGCCTCATATTCTTTAGAGAAGTTTAGAGTTTTGGATATAATATGAAAAATATTTATTTCTCTCTGTTGTTACTTTGGGCAATTTTGTGATGTTCTGCTAAATGCAAACTGCTCTTCATTTCCTTCTTTTGGTGGTTTGTTTTTGAATGTTCATTCACATGTTTATTTATAAAGACACTGCTATATATGATGGCAATTACAATCTCAGTAAGAATAATAATCCAGCAAAGCAAAGCCAATAAACATTGAAGAAATATATAGGAAAGGCTAAATTAATACCAGAAAAGTGTAGTCACACTACAGTGAAAAAATACCCACTTTGAATACTGTGTTTATGATGAAATCTCTAAAGCATTGATAACTACATGCTCACAACAAGAAAATTTGATAGTTGAAGGAAAGGAAGTACTAAATACCTATTATTACAACAATGCATATTAGTAATGAACATAATAAAATATGTGAATTAGTAATACAATGCAAAATAATGTATGAGAAAAACTCAATGCAAATAGTATTGCAGGGGAGGAGGTGGTAGCTCTGTTGTTTGAGTTATTTAAAATGGAAGAAAATGCAGCATTTTAAAGAAATAAACTGGTTTTTGCGCCAGACTGAATGCTACACTGTTCTTGCAAAATCAGACAGAAATGGATACCGAATTTGGCAGATGATGATGACAGTGTGAGTCTGGTGCAGAGTGCATAGTATCGCATAGGTAAGCTGATCTTTTGAGAATATCATCAATAAATCCCAAAGGAACTGCCATCCAGAAGATATCTTCTATTTCACTTAATCAGTGCTAATGACCAGACAGAGAAGAAAGACAAGCTTTTCCAGTGACTGTAGCCATTTCAATTCTGAAATGCCCTTAAGGTGATTCTTTTGCTCCAATGACTTTACAGAAAAAGCAGAGCAACTTAGATGCATTTCTTTAAAATTATCTAAGTTCTTTATGTATTCAGTGTAATTTGGAATTTGGAAGTGATTGGGGGCCCTTATAAATCTTCATTGCTTGACAAGAGGGGAAAGAGGCAGTACCTGTGGAAGCAGATGAACTATGCTTCTGTTGCTATGTGGGAATAACACAAGAAAGAAAATAGCGCATCAGATTTGTGGGTTTACAACATACATTTTCTCTCCTTTCATGTGATAATATATTTGATATTATTTCCTAGGGAAAAGTCGTATAGAATATTAATTTTTCACAGGTTCTCAGGGAGTATAATGAATAGCATTAGATGGGGCTTGCATACTCAAATATATGCTTACTTTGTAATATAGTCAATTTGTATTAAATTACTAGTTTTCAAAACAATTTTGTTTCAGCTTGAACTGACATTTTCAGAGTCAAGGCAATTTAAATTTAGCAACTTGACTGCACTTCTTAATTCAAGTGCACGTTTGGAAAAATTGAAAAAGCTGTTACAATAGTTTAACTCTAGCTCAACAATTTGAGAGCCAAGAGTAATGGAGAGTTGAAGTCATTCCTCTGTCAGCACAGGCTGCTAAAATAATCTGAGGATTAAATCTAGCATTTTGAAGGTACATAAAAAAAATTGAACTGATACTTTTGTTGCCCATCCAGGCCTTCAGTGAGACAACTGGACTTCCAGGCTCTTCTAGTAAAACATAAACTCTTAATACCTCTGCAGGAAAACTGGGGGCAGTTTTGGGTTTTTTGGTTGTTTGGTTTTGCTGTGGTTTTTTTCTTTTGTTTGTTTGGTGTTTTTTGCAGTTGTTTTTGTTGTTGTTTTTTGGTTTGGTTTCGTTTGATTTGGTTTAGTTTGGGGTTTTTTTTGTGGGTTTTTTTGTTTTTTTTTGGTTTGGGGTTTTTTGGAATTTTTTTGTTTGTTTTTGTTTTTTTTTTGTTTTTTTTTTTTTTCAATTTAATCAAGAAAAAGAGTGAAAAGCAGAATTAAAAATTCCAAACCTTTCTCTTACCCCTATAATTTTCTGGACTGCCCTGATCACATCCAGATGGAATTTTTGTGAAGGAAGTTGAGAAGAGATGTGTTTGAAATTGCTGTAAATCTGCATTGTAGCATCATTAGATGTCTGCAGATTTCTAGATGCAAACAAATCATCTGGAAATGGGTTGGATAGAGTACTAGACTTGGGGAAAATCTATCTGATTCATTTTGCAGGCTGTACTTCTTGCACTCTCTGATCTGCTCAGCAGTGTTCTCAGTCACTGAATCACAGAATCGTTAAGGTTGGAAAAATTCCTCCAAGATCAAGTCCAACCTTTGACCAATCATCACTTTGTAAACTAAATCAGAGCACTAAGTGCCATGTCCAGTCGTTTCATCCAGGGATGGTGACCACACCACCTCTGTGGGAAGTCCATCCCAATGCTCAGCAACCCTTTCAGTGAAGAAATTCTTTCTGTTGATCAACCTAAATCTCCCCTGGTGCAACTTGAGGCTATGTCCTCTTGTCCTGTCACTAGTTGCCTTGGAGAAGAGGCTGATCCCCACCTGGCTACAACCTCCTTTCTGCTAATTGAAGAGAGTGATAAGGTCCTCCCTGTGCCTCCTTTTTTCCAAGCTAAACATCCCCAGCTCCCTCAGCCACTTGTTGTAGGACTTATTCACTAGTCCATTCACCAGGTTTGTTGCCCTTCTCTGAACACGCTTCAGCACCTCAATGTCTTTCTTGAAGTGAGGGACCCAGAACCGGACACAATACTCAAGGTTTGGCCTCGCCAGTGACACGTACATAGGGACAATCACTTCACTGGTCTGTGGTACATAGGGAATATCTTGTCTTTAATAGTTCAAACTCACCAAATATTGATCAAATAATGTGGGACATAAGAGAAAGAACATAATTTGTTGTCGTAGATTCTTCTTACAGAAGAATTGCCTATGGATCTGCCAAGGTAGGGGACTATAGCTTTAAGATTGATGATAGTCTATTCACTTCACTTTCACATGTTGTAAAGCCTACCTATGTTAATTATTTTCTTTTTTAATTAAAATTTTAAATATTTTTCCCATTTTAAAAAATGAAATGCTGAGGTTTTTTTCAAAGTTTCTGCTTGATGATTTTAAAAGTTTGTTTCAACACAAATAAAGGTGAGCTATACTGATAAATAAACTTTGAGTGACTTCATAGTGAATTATTCATTGGTATACATGAAGTAAGACACCCCTACTACTTTTCAGAATTCTGGGTCTTGCATCAAGATCAAAGCAAACATAATTGGACTGATGCTAACAATGCTATAAAATATAGAAAATTGAGAAATGGAGAGCCCATTCCCTTCAGGTTGTAGCAGAACAAATCTTGAAAAACAAGTGTTTCACAGCTATCTAAAAATCAAATAGAGGAAGCTCTGTGAAATATTTTGACAGTCTGTTTATCAGAAATTCACCGTTGTCTGGGATGAATTCAGAAAATCTGTTTACATTCCTGCTTACTTTAATACATTAGACATTTTCAATATATAAACCACTGTGTGGTGGCAAGTCTAATAGTGGCTCACTTTCTTTTACTCTACAGTTACGTATTTTCTATCCATCACAAAAAAAAAAAAGAAAAAAGTAAAAGGGAATTAATTTGGAGTTATTCTAATCTGAAATTCTTGGTTTTGTGGACTTCTAGCCTTCTGCTTTAGAATCTCAGAAATATTAATGAATCTACTTGTCAAATCTTCATGAGGCAATGTTAGTGATTTTTCAGAAAATATCCCCCATGGCATGGAAAGATTTCAGTTTATATTTTTCTTTGGTGTAAACTGCAAGAAAGCCTGTGAAATCTACCCAAGGAAACATGGGAACTTATCAGAAACATGGACTTGTGTTTCTACTCCCTCACTAAGGAGAAATCTGTCTCAGGCTGTTTCAAAGTTGAGATGCAATGCAACATTGAATCCCATTTCATGGGTTAGGCTACACTCTCCAGTCAAGTCCTAATGTTTTTCTTAGGATGAATTCTGAGCTATTTGCTCCTAGTTCTTGATAAGTAGACTTCTGTTTCTAGGTAGAAGAAACTGTGGCATTCTCCTGCACATTCCCTAAGATGAAAGATTGGGAAACCAGGTATATACCAGTGTT